TTGAAAATATTATTTAGTTGCAGAAAGTAAGCGTAGCAGTGAAACTGGTGTAGTCTGTCTGCACTAGCACACAGGCTTTTTTTAAATATATATATATATATATATATATATAATGGTTTCCAACCTAAACACTCAGTTATACAGCTATGAAAGTCACTGTCAGAGTCACTTCTTGTTACTGTGTGAAAATGTCCCACTTTTTTTAGACTAATGCTTCAATTAGAATATATAATGCTTTCAAAATTCAAAGTGTGTACAGTTGAAAACATTATGTGGTTTCTACTATCTGTATCAACTGTGTCTACAGTATTTAGTTTCATGGCTTCAAACTTAAACAACTTCCTTCCTTCTTCCTCCACTTCCTGTGTTATAGTCTTACACAGACCAGGAAGATATTCTCGTCTAAAACGTGTAGAAAATAAGACTTCATTAAGTAATCAAAAAAGTAATCAAAATGGCTTTTATATGATTTTAATTTTCACTGTTAATCTTAAACTATAAGCAGTAGTACTTATGATTGTCTTCACTCACTTCCTACAATACAAACTATATGCCTAACTTATTGCAAGTAACAAATCAATGCATCGTCTGCAACAGGCCAGTGAACCTCTGCTATCACAATCTGAATTAGAAGTCAGAAATCTGTATTCTTGCTAAGTTTGTGTCTGTCTTGCATATCTAACGGCAACACATGCTCAGCCATATTAAACCCACGTACCAGATAAACAGACTAAACTGAGAAGTTTCGCTTTCACAGTGTAGCATTTGTACTTGGTGCCAACATCAATCATTCAACACTTGAACACAATGAACATTTTCAGGAATAATTTATCTTTTTGCTTCTGTGTTTGTGCACTGTATAATGTGCAATGCATGGAGATTGGCTACTAACTGCCACTCATTTCTCCATCAGCTCAGGAAGGATGGTCATTTTGTTCATGATTTTATCCCCCACACAATCCCCTGCTGCCTCTTTTAGTTGCATTGAAGTTAAACGGTGAATACGGTTTTAGTGTTGAAGTTCTTTGGGGGAATTACATCTGGTGTGTACAACCTAAAGTTCATCGAGGCCGTTAGCACCTGCTCGCATCCTGTTAAGCAGGAAATGATGGGCATCTATTTTTCCTCATTCTTATTCATAGCGTGGCTAGTTTACCACACCTAAACAGCTACACACGCTAAAGCAGCATGTATGTGCATGCACACATGTACAAAAACAAAGACAGACAAGTGAGCACATATTGACTTACCTACACCATACCGCTCTTTGATGGTCCTCATCCAAGGAACCATGATTGCATGTAGTCCTTCACCCACTTTCTACTCTTAGTCGTGTCTATCTGATTGTCCTCCTATTTCTCTCTCTTTTTTGACGGTGTCTGCTTAACTTCTCACTTCTGTATTTTTTTTTACTTTAAATGAAAGCAATAAGCCCATCCCCCTTTGCCTCTCTTCCTCTTCTGTTTCTCCTCTCTTCCTGCCTTCAGGCTGTTAAGGGGAAGTGGGTGAGTACAACAAGGTGGAGTCTTATAGAGTCTTATAGAGTTAGCCCACAGGCCTGTGCAGTGTGTGAAATCTCCATTTTGCTTTTTTAGACTCAGTGGCTTACCTTATATGTATTATCATTGAAAGTAAAACATCAGTAACATGCATCTTCTGTTCGAAGGGTTAAAATGGGATGATAGTTTTGCACTTCTCGTTAGAGCAAAGCAGGGCCTCAACATGTTTCTTTTTAAGATGCAAATTTGAACAAATGTGACAGAAAGCAAGTTGCATTTGTTATAAATTCTGAAATCTGAACACAATTTGTGCTCAATTGTCTGCAAGCTCACACTGTCATCTCTCATACAGTGTACTCACCTCTTCTCTTTGTCCATCCTTCAAGCTTGTGAATTCAAAAGTCTTGTGTTAGAAGCATCACATCATCCATAGATAACCTCAGCTCAGCCCTGTTTTGTCCTCACCTCCTCTCTCCTCCCTCCACAACAAGAAAGATAAGACTAGAATAGATACAACATTACCATTATCAGACTGGAAAACACTATACATCTAAATCAAATCAAAAATGATAAATGCAAAATGCTTGTATCACATGTTAAAAGAAGTTGATATTAAATAAAACTAGTATCACTAGAGTACCACCCAGAAATACACATATTCTAGTGTCTCTAATTCAGGCTTCAGCATATTAGATTTGCATGTCTCTATGAGCTTTGTCTAATCCTGAGTTTCTAATACATTGTATTGTCATCTCTGTCTTTGAAACATTGGACATTTCTGGAGACTGTGATGACGAGAATGCTGTTATTGCAAAAGCTGTCTAGTCAAGCTACAGGTATGCAGTATTTATATTGCAAGAATATTAAATTGACTAAGTGCTCTCCCCGTGGATGGCTGCAGCTGTGCAATTGTGTGAGGTGAAATTTTGTCTAATCAGTAAACAGAAACACAGCCTGGGTTTGTGGTTGTGGAGAGCACTCCAGCTATTAATAAATTGTGATAATATGCAAAATTAGAAAAGGTGTTAATTAATCTCTCCATTTGCTTTCTTCTTTATAAAGCTGGATTTCATATCTGAGATCTCAAAGAAGACTCTCCTTCACCACGTGTTCTCCTGTACCTCTGGCATATGATGTTGCCAGGGTAACATTCAACTTTCCATTTTGAGAACATCCTCAGCAACAATAACAACAGGCAACCACCATCCACAATAGAGAGGACCTTTCTGATTATTACAAGCAATCTCTCTTTAATTATAGACTACACTCTATGAAGTTCAAGTGGAAAAACAGGAACATAATTTTCTTTCACTACAGAACCAAATTGATGAAGAATTAATTATTTAAGAATTAAATGTTCTCTGTGGCTCAAAGTCGCCCTAAGATGAAATCTGGAGGACTTCAATCAATCCATCAGGACAGCTTGTAAGCCAGTTTACCCAAGAACAGTAAATATACTGTAAATGGCAGTATTATTTCTTGGACAGCCAAAGTGCTTTGCAGTATGGCTATCAACCAATGAGGCTGTCAAAGCCTGAAAGACACACAACACATTTACAGGAATATCAGCTTTCACACATTTCACACATTAATATTTAAGAAAAGTAAGAAAAATGTACATATTATTTTGGAAATTTTCCATTATGTGTACTATGTGTCATTACAACCATCATAGAGAGGACAGCTTTCTTATGAAGTTGTTTTGACATTTTAAAATTGATGTCGACTGTGTGTACAATAATTGGGTCTATTTACTTTTGCCTCCCCTATAGTGACACTTGACAATAAGTCTCATCTCTCATTTACCACCATTTGAAAATTCAAATTTAGGGATAATGTAAAATAGATATATGTTGGTCAAAAATGAATTTGAATGTTATGAATATATTATGATTGCTACAGCTATCTGATCAGGGAGTCCTAATAGAGTAGCATGCAACTATAGCTTATACAACATCAGTCATTGATTTCTTGTCTGAATTTGCCTTGCCTGTTTGCCTGCAGTTAACGCCAACCAATTATGTAATTACTTTGCAAATCCAAGAGAGGGTGGTAGAGTTTGAAGTCATTTTTAATTCTGTTTTCTGTATTCCCCTTGCATTACTTCATCTTATCTTATCAAGATATGGCATATTTTAAACCCACTGTTGCCTAGACTGGGAGCTGTGGTTTAACTTCCCATAATGAAAAATTATATTGCAATGCTAATGGAATTTGAGGTACCACTGCCAACACCTTGCATAGGAGCTCTGGGGCCCAAAGGTGTCAAAGCCATGTAACACCCAACTAAAGACTTCATTAGAAAAGACATCATGTATGTAGCATATGACCAGAGATGGTAGTGCCAATCAGGTGTCCTCCACCAACAGAGGGTGCTTCTTATCACGAGGGGAGACAGAACTCGTCAATGTGCATGTGAGGAGGTGACACTTAGATATGGAGTGACAAAAAAAGACATGCAGATAGACAGATATGTTATCACATAGCACTGTGTAGTGGAACAAACCTGGAACCTTGTTGCTGTGACTCACAAGGAGAAACAAGGGTGGAGTTTAAAAGGTGTGTGGAAAGAGAGAAAGAAAGAAAGGAAAAAGTGACAGTCGTAAGCTACAGACATAGCCAGAGATGAAATGATGTAGAGATGAAGGAATACAAAGAGACAGGCACAGGGACATTATCTAACATAAAGAAATAGCTCATAAAGAGACAAAAAAAAATCTAATTCACCATGAGTGAAGATATGAACAAGGCCACGGAAGCTGGGACAGAGCAGAGACAGACAGAGATGAGACAGATAAGGAAAAGGGAGGCAAAAACAGTTATGAAAAGAGGTGTGATAATGACTCATGAACATTAGCCTGAAGCCAAGAAGATGAATTGCCATTGGAAAGGGAAGCCACGCCAGGGACCAAAGCACATAAAAACAGATACAAACGCTGAGTAAAAGGCTGCACCAGAAATAGAGAGATTGATTTAGAAATCTTTGTGACCTTTCGGGTCATTGACATCCCTCCAGTCCAGCTGGTGCCAGTTCTCAGCAACTTACCCAAATGCCATCCATCCGTGAAGCTCTCTTACTGTAACTGTAGAAAGTTAGAGAGCAGTGGCATTTTATTTAATTTTTTTAGAGACAAAATTAAGGACAAGAAATGATGCATGCAGGAATACCGTCTCTCCCACTACAAACTGGACTTATATGCCAGTGATTCCATTAGGGCTGAATACAACAGGTTGCTTGAATTATTCAGTTAATGCAGCGCAGTCTCCAAAGGCAACAGTTTGTTGAGGAGAACTTATCTTAACAGCTGGCACAAGCACAACTTAGAAGGCGTGATAAGAGAATGGAAGAGCTATTAAAATCATTTCAAAAGCAAATCACCCTAAAGAGATAGCAAATAATAATAAGAGGAGACAGAGAGAGATAGAAAGAAAAAGAGAGCTGTCACTGAGTCACAGGTCCCCCCCCCCTCTCTTTCCCACACACACACACACACACACACACACACACTTCATGAGCAAGACTGTGGTTCTCTCCGGCAGCAGAGCAGAGTAGCGGGGGCAGTCGTCGCAGAAAAGGAAAAGCAGCACTGAGGTGAGTTGATCAATTCCAACTTCATACTTTCTATAATATATTTTACATGTGATCAAACTTGAATGAGTGGTGTGTAAAAAAAAAACATAATCCACCCAGTTGTGTCTGTGGTGCGACAGCACTGTTAAGCTTGGTTCAATATTTTCTCCACATTTGGACTGATCTGCTGGTGTGCATTTCAGCAGCCAAACAAGAATATTACAGAAACAAATCGTGGATGAACTAAATTAATTTAATGTGTCAAATACTTGACAAAACATTTACATAATTAAACGCACAATTACTTGTCTACCTCGGATTTTGGAACAATTATGCCTTTTCGAGTTACAATTTTAAGTATTTTCATGCAAAAACAGGTTAGGGAGGGAAGGAAGGAAAGTCAAGGACGTGATAGAGCAGCAGTGCGTGTGTGGTTAGTGAAACGCAACCTCGGTCATGAACAGGCTCACAGCGTCAGAAGATCCTCCTCTGAATCGCTGTCTACTCAGCTGTTGGGAAACAGCTTCTTACTTATTTTGCAATTGTGTCACAAGTTCCATTCAAATTCATAGGTTTGTGGTTGTGGAGAGTTCAACAGAGTCAATCCTGAGTCTGGTGTGAGCATGTGAACTCTTCACAATGACAAATACACAAAGGGGTCATTTAATCAGTCCTGAAAATGAGGAAGTGAGATTATTCTGTGTGCGTGTGTGTGTAAACCAAATACATAATTTATCTTTTACCTGCTGGTACATTTGTGACAGACTTTGAAGTTCTACATTTAGACTTCACCTTACATACAGTGTGAACACATCACAGAAGATAGACAATCAATACATATACATTGATCATTTCCTCTGCTTTTATGTTTATAAAGGTTGTGCTTCAGTAGGTGGTGCTCTTTATTTTATATCTTCAAAAATAGCTACTGCTAACCACCTTGTTTTTCTTCTGTTGAACTGTGCATGTGTGTGTGTTTTTCTATACAAATGTCTGTCTGTCTGTGTGTCTACTTATATAAGTATTCATTAAGGAGAAGTGAACTAAGGTCAAGACTGACACACTGTTGGCAATCAATTATCCCCAGGTGACCTGAACTTGCTTGTGCATGTATGTCTGTGCCACAGCAACACATGCTGTTAGTATCAATGCATATTTTATGTATCTGATCCCCCGTGTGTATACCTGTCTACAGTCATGATTGACGCTCAGCTTGTTTCGTTTTTACACTAACACAAGATTCCACAGCTTCCTTCCACTTGTCAGGAGGGTTGCCCCCCCAATCACGAACAGACAAACGGGGAGACGGACTCGCGCACACACAGACACACACATGCGCACGCACCCAGGTGTTGGCACATTCACAAAAACACAGACAGCTATAGATTTCTTTGTAAAAGCAGAGGAAGTGAGTGAGCCAAGTATTTGCTGCTCAATTGGATTATATTAGGATAAATGAAGCATTCAGAAGTCTGATTTCATTATGTTGCTCTCATGAATGCTGCATGGAGGAACAGAAGTTGCTTTCAACATCTGCAGGCCTTTTCAGTATTAGTCCCCACTAAATAAATGTTAAGAGACCTAGTAACAGTCCTTGCTTTTCTTGTTTGTATTGTTAAGAAAAATAGAATAAACAAACAATCTACAGCTTTGCCAAAAAAACATCAGATGGTTGCAGGATCAACACCAGCTACACTGCCACTTTCACTCTCAGGTGTGTGTAATCTTTTGACCACACTACAGTTTACCAACCATTACAGAACAATCACGTGACTGAGAAGTACACGGAGTCACTGCATGTACTTGTACCGTGCAGTACTGCTGACGCAGAGCTGTCCACACATTTCAGCAGCGTTGCAAAGACAAGGCAAGCGATTTGGTTCCATGTCAGGACACTGCCATTCCCCCGGCTAAAACTATCAGGTGGCAGATACGCTAACTGTGATTGAGTTGTGTTTTTGTTTTGTTGGATATATTTTTAGGCATATTTGCCTTTATTTTGAGAGACAGGACAGTGGATAGCAGTATGAAACAGGGAGCGAGATAGGGGGTGACATATAGCAAATGGCCGCAGGCAGGACTTGAACCCGGGCCGCTGCAGTAAGGACTCAGCTTTGGACATGGGGTGGACGCTCAACCACGTGAGCTAACCACACTCCTGTGAATGAGTTTTAATGGGCAAAATCAATTAATGAGATATTTCCTGTATATATGACTAGTCTGGAGCAACCACAAAAACAAAAGGTAATTTCACACCCAGCTGATAATTCAGAGCTCATCTCAATATTGCAGTGATTTGAGAGGGCAGAATAAATCCATTTCCTGACTCTGTATAAATATATTCAAACCCTTTACTTTGTACACGTGATTGCTTTGGTTTCTCACAGGGTTGAAGAAGAGCTGATATTCCTTATCAATTTACTTCTAAAAAGACACATCTGGCTGGTTAAAAAGGTCTCAGAATTAACACGTTACTGTATTTGGAGAATCTCAGAAATCAGGCTGCGAGTCCCGGCTGAGAGGTGAATAACCTAATTACTCATCTCCGGGCTCAGACCATGTCTGGTAAAGAGCTACAAGTTCTTTTTCTGCCTGCCTTTCATCTCAATACCCAAATTTGGCTCTTTTCACCAGATCCCTTACTGAGTAATGGTAGGTTTAGATGGGGGAGAATGAAGCCTTCCCAGCTCATTTGCATATTTCTTATACTTGAAGATAAGAGACAAGGAAGCTGTCTAGGAGCTCCTAAAAGTTAATCACTTTGCTATGTCCACTAACTGTTGCGCTTCACCTCGATTACACACAGATAGACCTATACTGGGATGAATCCTTCAAGCACTGTCCTCAAACCACAAACTCATGCAACCCTTGTCTCTTGAAAACTGCATTCTTCTTCAGAAAACCTCCAAAAGTGGAGCAGCCATTACATCCTGTGAAAAACACAGCACTAAGCAGTCATTACAATCCATTACAGTCCTCAAAATCCATTATGAAGACATGTTTTGGGTTGTGTGTTATGCACACCTGCATGCGAGTATGTGTGCGCGTGTGTGTAAGTGATTCTATATATGGATGCAGTAACACTTTTCCATTGGGGACAACTAATGAGAGGTTTGTGAAAGAAAACAGATGGTCAGTAATAAAAGTAGCACACTGTCTAAATGAGGGATGCTTTGTTTACTATAGGGGATACCATCCTTCTCAACATTTAGGCAAATGACTGTGACTTTCTGCTGTAACTGTAGTCTGCATAGATGAACAGCGACTTGGCACTGATAAAACAAAAAAGCATGCAACTCACTTGTGCTAAATAAGTCTTGTGCATGCTTGTGGTTCTTGATACGTGAGTGGGCAGGGTTGTATATTAATATGGTTTTATTCAAACAAATATTTATGCCAAAATAAACACAGGAAATGAATTATGGTTATGCTCTTATACATGTGCACTGTAACATGGGAAAGGGAACTACTGCATTTGGCTGAGTATGCCTGTGTAAACGCACACACATACACACAACCATATACATTATGTCCCAGAGTTGAGACCAGGTTATAGTGACTGTAATGCATGTCCATTTGTGGACATTCATCAAAGGCTCATTGTGGATACAAGCCAAAACTTGTTGCAGCAGTTTGTGTAAGCTTGTGTGTGTGTATGTGTGTGTGAGAAACAAAGCAAGAAAGTGACTTGACAGAGCAAGAGACAGACTGTGATGATAAAAATGGTTGAAATGTGTGGTCTCAGGGAGTCAGTCGGTGGTTCTGTCAGATAGACAGGCTGAGATGTCATGTGAATTTGAGAGATGCACGTCATACGTTAGTGACTGTGTTATCAGTGTTTGCCCTGGATGAAGTTCAAAGTAACGAGTCGGTGACAGAAATCTGTCCACGGAACAAAGAAGTGAAGATTAGAAGAATTCAAAGATTAGAGACAGTGTTCTGTTTTCTGCAGACCCAGATTTAATTAAAACCATTCTTTCCGTGCTCTAATGCTCTTTCTTCTCATCTTCATGTGAAGCCAACATAATAATAATAATAATAATAATAATCATCCTTATTTGTAGAGCACTTTTCAAAAACAAGTTACAAAGTGCTTTAACAAGTGTAAAGAATAATACAAACAAAAAAAATACAAGATAAGAGCATGAAAAATTAATATAAAATTAGTAAAATACAATAAAATAAAAGGGATAAAATAAAGTCAAATAAGATCGGGAAAGGCTCTCCTATAAAAGTATGTTTTAAGAAGGGACTTAAAAGAGTTCACTGACTCAGCCGACCTGATTTCCTCGGGCAGGCTGTTCCAGAGCCTCGGGGCCCTGACAGCAAACGCTCTGTCCCCTTTAGTTTTCAGTACACACATCCACCTGTCGACGTGATCTCTCTCTCTCCCTCTCTTTCTTTAAAGGTGATAAGTGAGCAGCTCTGGACCAAGTCTGGCAAATGTCCCAATACCCATTACGGTGTTAGAAAATAGGAGAGCAAACATTACCCACCACCCACTGACGCAAACACATGTACTCCACACACACACACACACACACACACACACACACACACACACACACTTATCAAGTAGTTACCCTCATTCCACCAAGCACACATTAAAAACTTAACCCACATGCCATTAATGAATAAGTTCACAGAGGACTAATAGCACCGTGTAACTCTGTTGACAAGGTCTATGTAAGAAAACAAAAGAGTTAACAATATCCATTAGAAAATGATTTTTGTCAAGCATACTTAATAAAAAGTACTTATTGTACAAAATACCAGCAATAATGTTTACTTGCCATTGAAAAACCTTTACAAAACTTCTATGGTTCTCATCAGTCAGACCAAACCTTCTGAAACCTGATTTAAGATTTCTATTTCAGACCTGGAGGAATCAAACAGGTTATTATTCTAAGACATTGCCATAATGCTGCATCAAAACGTTATTTAACAATATTTAAACCAAATAAAGTCTTAACAAGATCTCAGCGGCAGTACAGACACATGCTGGCTCAGTGCTGAACAAATACATTGCCCACAACAAGCAGTATGCTCATCTGTCTATGTTTTATTATAGATAGACTGGAATTCCCATTAGCGGACAGTCTAAATGTATTAGGAAAATGGCAGCCATGAAACATTAGAGGTAACATACCTTTACATTTGACAATGACAAGCATTAAAAAAACACCATACACCTTGTAATGATACATTATGTTGTGACTAGATTAAATTTACTATGGCATCTCATTCTGAATTCTTTGCCATCATAAATCATGTATGCAAGGCTTGAGGCTTTAAGGTTTAGAATCAAACAGACATCAACTATGTAGACTTTCTGTTTCATAACTAAGCAATCCTGCAAGCCAAATTACATTTAGTGTGTGTGTGTGTGTGTGTGTGTGTGTGTGTGTGTGTGTGTGTGTGTGTGTGTGTGTGTGTGTGTGTGACCTGTAGAGTGTACGTAAGTGCAAAGCCTTTAATAGTGCAACCAATGCAGCCATAGTGGCCGCTGTTTATAAGTTACATAGTCTCGCTGTAAGAGATAAATCTTTCAATGTCATCACGCATTTGCTTAAAAACTTAACAGAGAATAAAATAGTGTTTAAACACAAGTCTTCAGAGTGTACTTGTTCCACAAGCAGATTTTTGAGTCATTCTGTTATTTTTTTATTTTATCAGTTACTACAAATCTAGTGCCAAATTAGTTCTTTATAAGTCAAAGTCATGCATTATAGGTTACAGATAAAACCAGCCCAAAAGAATGTAACTGCTCTGTTGTGTAAGCTTGGTTGTCCAATATCTGAAACGATAGGAAATACTGTACAGATTACCAACTGTGTTTCTCATCTCTGTCCACTAGGTGTCAGCACAGCCATAGAAGATGGTGTTGGAACCAAAGTTAAGCCATGGACCACAGCCAATCAGCCACGCAGACAGAAAGCTGTTCAACCGCCATCACAGTCATTTCAACAGCAAAGCACAGTGTTGATTTGCAATTCTCAGCAGCAGCATTTGTCAAGAGACATGTTGTTCAACCAACGTATGGCAAGACTTTTTGGTGAATGTTGTGCATGGGAATGCTGGTGTGGTCAAGTCACTGGAGAGTTGAAAGCTATGGTTAGTAGGGTTCAGGCCCAGTAAGAACAGTCAGGTAAATTAGCAGCTAAGACACAGAGAGAGAGAGAGCACATAGAGACAGAGGGAGCACATGTGACCAAAATCTTAAGTCACATTCAACCACTGAAATAAGACTGTATGCACATTAATAAATGGGAGCACCCACACACTCTGTTCAAACATATTTAATATTTAACATTATATGTGAGCCTAAGGCTTATAATGTTAATGTCTTCTTTGCAAAAAGTGTGACCTCTCATCTAGTGTGGTTTAAATCTGAAAAGAAAACGTAACGGTTCACATAAAGCTCCAGCAATGATGTCATCAGATGATGTCTCCAGTAAAGCACCAGCAATAATGTTGTCAAACGTGATGCTGGGTATCCTCCTGTCCCTCCTCATCCTTCTGACTGTCGGTGGTAATGTGCTGGTGTGCCTGGCTGTCTGCGCTTCTCGACGCCTCCGCTGCCTCACAAACTGTTTCATTGTGTCGCTGGCCGTGACAGACTTGCTGCTCGGTGTCATGGTGCTGCCTTTCTCCGCTCTGCTCCAGCTCAGCAACGAGTGGCCACTTGGCCCGGTATTCTGCAACTTCTACATCTCCATGGATGTCATGCTGTGCACTGCCTCCATCCTCACCCTCCTGGCCATCAGCGTGGACCGCTACATGGCAGTGACCATGCCTCTAAGATACGCCTCACTGGTGTTGCCATGGAGAGTTGCTGTGGCCATGGCCAGTGTTTGGACAGTGTCTGTGGCTGTGTCGTTCTTGCCCATCCAAATGGGGTGGAACACTGTTAATGGGACTGTGCAGAACCACGGGCCTTGGGCTCCAGAGAGGAGATGTCGTTTTGAGCTGAACAGACCGTACGTACTGACAGACTCTCTTCTCACTTTCTACCTGCCTCTGGTGGCTATGTGCTGGACCTACCTCCGAATACTTCGCATTGCACGGGCACAGGCCAAACGCATTATCGGTGCCCGACCCACTTGCATCACTACCTACAACTGCAGGAACAATCCTTCCACCAGCACCACTGTGGTTTCCAGTGTTACAGCAGTGGCGTTGAGGGAGCACAAAGCCACAGTGACATTGGCAGCAGTGATAGGGGCTTTTGTGGTGTGCTGGTTGCCATATTTCATCCTGTTCACAGTGTTGGGCCTAAAGGAGCATCCAGACCCTAGCAAGGTGCCAGAATTTCCCGTTGTGTTGTGGCTGGGTTACACCAACTCAGCCCTCAACCCTATCCTCTATGGAGCCCTCAATAGGGACTTCAGGTCAGCCTACGCCCATCTACTGAGATGTCGATTGCCAAGTTATAGTGGGTGGATGAGCCGACAGCCTTCTCCCACTGTAACAGCAGGTAAAGCTGTAGAAAGAGCTTAAAATCTGCAAGTAAATCTGCAAAAACGTAACGTAATGGTTCACATAAAGTTTCAAGGTTTTAAGTTTAATTTAAGAGTGGATTCAGTTTCCGTTATATTCCTTTCCATCTTCCCCCTCTCAGCCAGAGACCAGCTTACCGAGGTGACACTGCTGTGTGCCCACACCCCTGCCACCTGCAGGGCAGGTCTAACAGATCAAAACTTCATGCTTCAAGAAAGGAGCAGCGGTACAGCCACAGCAAATATCCAATTTGCAAATGGCACTGCTGCCCCAGACATCAATGGCAATGAAAGGTAAATTATTAATCAGCAAAGACTTATCTTGTGCTTCATGTGCACGAATACAAAATGACATGACCTGACATGATGTGGAGAAGTTCATGTCAGCAATGGAGTTCTTGCATGCAGAGCCATGACTCATGACTCAAGTATAGTACAACTACCTTATGAAGAGTGATGTTTCACATCCAAATTGGGGTGAAAATGCTACAACATTCACATTTACTCATAATGAGAAAAATACAGGGCCATCACCAAGAAAGGACTATGATCAGTGCGTTAAGATGATTCCATGTTATATCCCGCTCTCAGTATGTATTTTCACTGGATTGTATATTCTGTCTTACTTTAAAAACACAAAATCTGATCAGTTACACAAACACACAAATGTGTCATACTTCTCTCATCTTTTATTCCTTTCTGTGAGCCCAGGTCGTGCTGAGCCTGTGCTGATGAGGTGGATGGATGCTGTGTTCACTATACTGTGGTTGCAACTAAGAACCAGAATCCATCAGCCTAAGAAGAGCAGCAGACAAAAAGGCCTGCAGAGATGTACAGCCCCTTTATTTGGAGGCCTTCAGTGCCACAGTAGAAGTACCTATAATACACCATGTAAGTAGACATACATGACTTCCCTGTAGCCCCAGCAGACCATGTCAGGCCCAGAACAAATGAACTGTGACACACATATCCTAGCGGTGTCATTCGCAGTGAATCAGGCCATATGGCAAAATACTTATTAGGCCAAGAAATTTGCTTTCAGCACAGAGGAGACGCATTATCCAGTTTCACATCCTGCTCTCACTTCTTTGTTTGCACTTTGTGAACAGTATCAACTAATTGGTTTGCTCTTTCTACGTGCATGTTTGTAAAGTGTGTATTAGTCAAAAGGTACAATGTATAATTCCTTCCCACATGCTCCCCTTCAGCCTGGCTACTCTCTGCAATTCTGCTCCTTTTCTCTTTTCTAATCACTTGTAATGTTAGAGCTTATCTTTATAAGAACCTTATAAATTAAGCTTTTTATGTCTTCCTGGATTAGTGGGCGTTCTTCTTCTGCAACAATGTGGTAGGGGCTTCTCTCCTGCTTCTGTGTGTCTGCTGCTCTCTGTTAGACTGACAAATATGTGGAATAAGTACAGAATTTAAAAAACACACAAACAAAGAACAGGGATACTATTTTGAATAGTTATAGTGGATGGGCGGATTTTGATATTTCAATCAAATCAAGAGAACTGACATGCATGGAATGCATTTATCAGAATCAAGGTAGATTTATCTATCATTTTACAACACAGGGTTGGTATAACAAGATTAGGTATCGAGTATTCTACAGAATATTTCATCAATTCATTGATTAACCCCCTGCCCGGTACCGGGATCATCTGTGTAAGTTAACTCATGACTGTGACCTTACAATCCAAACTGACAGCCCGATCAGGCAGAGAACAACATGTGTATATATTTACAGCTTAGGATTGCGGCTTACATTTCCTAGCCTTCAACTCAACAATCAATCATGATTTCAGTTAATTGCTACAGTTGCTGTTACTGTCTGCTCCATGAGGTTGATGCTAGACTGGGTGCTGTCTGATCAGATGCTGTTGTGCTGTTACGGTAGGCTACATAAGGTTCGTTTTATGGTGGACAGACTGTAAAATTACTGAATTGTTGTTTTCTTATAGCTTGAAATAATCCCATACACTTTATTTTCTGAGATTTTAATCACCCGCTGAAGAGCTCTCCGGTCCTGGGCCGTACACATCCTATGCTAGTTTATGATTGTTCCAGTCAGAATCCTTTGCTCCTCTGTAAAAGTTGATAAGTTGCCACAGGAATTCTTAAGTTTCCTTAAGAAATACAACTGTTTCTGAGCTTTCTTTACCAGCTTGGAGATGTGAGATGACCATGTCAGGTCCTCTGTGATGATTTCCAGGAATCTAAAACTGTTGTTGGAGTGTGTGTCCTTGTCTCTTTTTTTCTAAAATCAACGATCAGCTCCTTGGTTTTGCTGACGTTGAACAGTAGGTTGTTCTCTGTGTTCTCTCTACAAGATTATTGATTTCCTCCCAATTTGAAGTATCGTTGTTGTTGTTTTTAACCCAAACGATGATGGTGGTGTCGTCCATGTCGGGGGTTAGGGTTAGGTCATGGGTGAACCACATGAACAGGAGGGAGCTGAGCACACAGCCCTGGGGGGCTCCGGTGTTAAGCACTAGAGTGGAGGAGGTGTGACTGCCAATCCCAACTATATAGGTTCTGTTTGTGAGGAAGTACAATATCAAGTGTGATAATTTGCTGATCAATTTCATGGAGAAGATTGTGTTGAATGCTGAGCTGGAATCCACAAACAGCATTCTGATGTGTTTTTCTCAAAGTGTGTGAAAACTGAGGAAGACTGTGAAGATGGCATCCTCTGTGGATCTGTTTGTTCTGAAAGCAAACGGTTGAGGGTCCAGGCTGACTGGGACGTTTTTCTGTGCTAGAGAACAACTTTCTCAAAGCACTTCACCATGGGTGTGGGCACCACAGACTAGACACTGCAGACATTTTAGGTACAGGGACAATAGCGGCGGTCTTGAAGCAGATGGAAACACTCTTCTGCGACAGTGATATTTAAAAAATGTCAGTAATAACCTCAACTAACTGATTGGCATGTTTTTAATCCACTGCCAGGGATGTTATCAGGCCCAGCTGATTTACTCATATTCACTCCCAGCAGGACTCTTCTCACATCTGCTGTGGACACTGACAGTGGCCGGTCCTCTGGAGGTGGAGTAGACTTTACAGCTGACTCCTTGTTGAGAAGATCAAAGTCCTCCTTGCCTAGCCTGTGATGTTTTTGATCGCCTGCCATATATCTTTGGGGTTGTTGGTCTTGAGGTCTCTCTCCAGTCTCTGCTGTTGTCTATGCTGTGTCTTTGACAACTTTCAGTCTCTCTCTAGTGGTGCTGTATGGTTCCTTGTCACCTGGCTCTGTAAAGAGCCTTAATCTCTCCATTCATCCAGACCTTCTTGTTGAAGAAAGATTTTTATTGTCTCAGTGATCACCACATCAGTAACACATGTATGATGTCACTGATTATGTGTAGAATGATGATGCGGTTCTCCCTTGGTGGCAGCCTCTCTGAACATGTGACAGTCTATACACTCATAACAGTCCTGTAGAGCTACTGTAGCCTCATTGTCCACACTTCAACTGTTTTTAATGACCCTACCAGTTTGTGCAGCAGTATTGGTTGACAAGCCCTCAAGGCATCTCTACTTCATTGTCCTCTCATGGCTGAGGGCAGACTGGACGCAACAGTGACTCACTATTGCATCTCAAGGCACAAGTGGTATTAGAATACAGCACTGGCTAGAGCTAACTCATTACAATGCCAACTTTAGTAAATATCTCTGCAACACAATACACAGACATCTTTGACATGACATTAGAGGTCTTTCTGTGCATTCAGACCAATCGTGAATTGAATCTTCGCGTTGCGTGACTTGCGAGAGTTTGATTGTTGAGTTTCTGAACGTAAACACAACCCAGTTTGCTAAAGCGGTATGAACCCAAATTAAACATTTGGCTATGATTTAATTACAATAAACAGATCAACAGGATCATCGGCCAGCAGAGACTCTGTCCCGCTGCTCTGCCTGGTCCTCTTCACACAACATTCTGAAGCAGTCTGTGACATCCAGACAATCTCAGTGTTGACAGGCTATCGTGACAGTGTCACACGACTTCGAGTTGAACAATTTCAACTCACCAGATTGAGCGAAGGACCTGCGTGCTGCCCGACAGGAATTCGTGTCTCTCAGCGTTGTTGCATTGACTTTGTATGTAATCGCGCCACGCCCAATTCTCACCTCACGGTTGCCCTGAAATTGACATTAATTGTCACATTCTGTTCTTACACATTGTACTTTTAAAGCAATGAAACAACGTAAAGTTTTTTTTTTTCTTCATGATTACCAATAAATTGTACAGGCTGTACAGCATGGTGGTACATGGGGGTGGTTGTGGCTCAGGAGATCCACCAGTATATGAATGTTAGTTTCTGTTTGAGCACTTGGGCTCAGTGTATAAATGTGAGTGAATGGTGAATGCAGATGTAGTGTAAAAGCGCTTTGAGTGGCTATACAAATGGACAGAGACGGGACCAAACAGGAGACAAGACTACACTAAAACATGGAGATATAAGACTAAGGACTAAGACAGACCATAATGATAAAACACAGAAGTACACAGATCAGAAAAACACTAAACATGAACTATAGCACAGGACTAAGAACTAAGATGAGAGACAAGACAGTTACTCAGAAAACTAAAAGCGAATGAACAAAATAATAAACTAGACTACAAAACTCCAAACCATGACAATATCAAATAAACACAATAAAAACAACAGCACAAAACCAAATCCTAACAGTTTTGTGTTTTTTTCAGCTAAAACATCTATGAACTGTACATTATTGGAATGAAAACAAAATATTGTAAAACAATATTATATATTTACACAACTTTTAACCTCTCAAGCATCTGTCCTACCTCCTGCAGCTTTGTTTTGTATGCGATTGTTGATACAGCAAACACATTAATCTCTATACTGAGAGTAGGAGCTAATCTACTCTCACCACAGTGGTGAGTGATCCTTTCCTCCCCGCATATTGTACACCCAAAGTGATTGAATAGAGTGCCAAACGTTTGATCCTCTTCATGTGTGTCTCTCTCTGCCTCATAGCAACCACTCAAACCATACTTTAACAAAGTAAAATGGGAGAAAATGGGACCTCAGTAACTCCACAACTCATCAGCAAGAACCAACTGTACGCACACAGCCGGCCTCTATCCGTCCAGGACCGAATATATGACGAGGCTTCTACATAGATGGAGCTAAAAGTCTAGTTGTCTTACAAAATCCTTCCACTGCATCCAACCATCACACAGGACCCTGATATGCTCTTGAACTAACTGTGAATAGTATAGAAGCTCTGGAAGAGTAAATGAGACCAGCAGATTAACTCTGTTCGTTATCAATTTTGCGTACTACATTTTTTATGCTGACTCAAGAGTGCACTCCAGTGGAAACTCAAAGTATCACAACTTCAACTGAACAAAATAAATTGAAATGGATGTTTCACAAAATCAGGGAACTAAAGGGGGAATGTGATAAATGGACTTTTATTACACTTCTCACTTCATGTAGAATGCATTGAAATGTGTAGCATGCAAACTAATGTTATGTGTCTATTTGTAAGAATGCAGCTGCCTCCAAACTGTGTCTTTAATGTATCTCATTCAGTGGCATAAAGCTGAAAATTGTATGCATGTATCATACTGTATGTATTGTATCATACTGTAAAACTTACTGAGGAGTGAAAAGAATTACATGTGCTGTTCCTCCACAATAGAAAATTACAACCATACTGTATCAATAAAGAGCAGCTTAAATAAAGAATATAATATACTGTATACTTTGTAATACAGATGGGCTGTAGTTAAGTCCAGATAGGGATTATGTGGGATGATACAGAAAACACTGTGTGAGTGGTAAGGAATACAAGTACAATGGAAACGATTCATCAAAGCTGTCAGCACACATTGCCTCAAACTATTGCCACATTAACACTTAACCTTCTCCATACTTCAAGCTATTTCCTTTGAGGACTGACAGAACTGTGCATAATATCAATCTGCATGTCAGGTACCAGCTGGAAACAAGTGGTGGAGGGGATTGTACAACTCATTCAACTACACAGAAAAAAGTATTTGGTATTTATAACAGTAGGGTAGTATTTCTTCTTTCTTTCTTTTTTTTTTACTTGTTATCTATCCAGGGTAGATTAGCTGAGAATGAATGTTCCATTATCTCATCTCTTTCACCAGTGAAAGGACAGGTTCTGATTTTTCATATCTGTCTTAGTCAATACTTACAAGCCATATGTACTCTAACCGTCATGATTACACTGTAAAATATGAGGGACAAAATATACAATCCTCGTTCAGTCAGAGACATTTAGGTCAAGCAAATGATCTTAGCTCCTCCAAATTCATACAGTAACAGTGGAGTATCAAACATAGATGTAAACATACATTAAAACCCTAATTCATATAGGGAGGTTGTTGCATGTTGGAGGGAGTCGTGGCAGCAAGTAGTACTGGTAACAGGAATCATCAGGGAAACTTGTAATTCATAAAGACCACTAAAGTAAACTTAAGTACACTCAGAGGTCACCCTTGTTCAACTTTGACTCAGTGGATTTTGCCAGTTGGCTAATAGAAACTCCAATCTTGGAACCCATCACCTATCGTCTGACGACGATTTTACCTCTTGGGCAACATCCATGTTTCAGGGCCAAGACTACTTCTTCTGAGCATTGTTTACAATCCGATTAGCAATCACATAACCCATTAGCTATTGTCTGATGATGATTTGAGTGCCGATACATTTAATAAAAAAGCTAATAAAATTATAATCTCTAGATTTCCGAGATTGATTAAAAGCTAAATGTTGTTAGACGAAAGCCAATGAGTTATGAAACTGCATTTCGGCCAATGTGTTCCACCTCTTTTGTTCTCCACACGGACTGTTTAGTCACATGCAACCAAAGCCTGCTTAAGCGTGATTGGTCAATACTACTCGGACTACAAACAGAAACCATAATGCTTTGATACCAAAATCTTGTTCCTTGCCTACAGATTGTGCATTTATATGCAGATATCTGTTTATAGAGATTAATGGAATCCCTGACTGTCTGAACATGTAAAATGTATTATTCCATTGTATCTACAGACATACATACATTATTATATCACAAAACCATATATTACAAACAACTAATTGCAGCTTTGCTCTCACAGTTTATGCTTGCGATCGCTCTGAGCAATATTTATTTATTACTGGCATCAGAAACTTGACATCATGTCCTTCTTCGAGATGCGTGCGGGGCAATTTTGTTGAACAGAAGGGTAATGTGAGCATCTCTTTAGCCTGGCAGTTTGTAGATGTATTGCCAATGTTGGGAAAATACAGACATGCAACTACCAGGCTGTATCCCTCCAGCGTGGCTCGGTACAGAAACACTGTTCATGCAAACACAAAAGAGAATTTAACACTACAGAGGCAGCAACTTTCAAACATACCCACTTGACATTATGTCCGCTATCACTCACAGTGTAGTAGTGCTAGAAGAGCTCACTTCTTGAGGAGGAATGATTACAGTGAACAACTCTTTCCATGTACTGTATGTACAGCATGTGAGTGTTTTATTAACATAATAAGAAATGTACCTATATAAGTGCCTTTGAACAGGCTAAAAACATGACTCACAGTGTGAAGAAAATGATAAATAGACGAGGTAAATATTTCATTTTGTGTTTTTGTGGCTGGAAACCAGAGTGGTTAAGGGTTTATCTGTACTCTGTCCTCTCTAACTAAAAGACATTTATTATGCTTTCATCTCTTTGAGTCCCTCTTTTCCTACATAAGCACTGTGTCCCTTGGTAATTCTGGTCACTCAACCCTTCTCCATCTCTCTCCCCCTCTCTTTTCAGCAGAGTGACCATCGACTGCTCAAACTACATGAAAACCATTCATCATTGCTTCTTAAACATCATATTAATGTGGGGAAAAACAGAACCTTATAGACTCTTTCTCTCGCTCGAAAATGCACACACAACAGTACACACACACGGCTCGCTCTGTATAAGCTATCAATCATAGATATTGTCATTATTCAACTGTGTCATCGACAAGACCCTCTCCTCCTCCCTCTCTCTCCAGTCTCTGTCTCTCTTTCTCTTTCTCCCTTTTCCATTCTCCCTATTCTCTCTCTCACACATACACATACACACACACACACACACAGAAGAGAGAGAATCATGAATCATAAATCTTATGAATGCCATCTAAAGACTGCTCAGCGCTATGAGAAAGAGAGATGACTGATAGATGTGAGTGACTGTGGCGAAAGCAAAGAAGATGGACAGAAGGTTGTAAACAGCAACACCGAAGTCAGAAACTGCAGATCAAGGGTCAAACGTATCAGAGGAGGCACAATATGGCAAAGACGGAAAGAGTAAACGGGAGAGGAGGAGAGGGAGTAAATGGAAGGAAGAGAAGAGGGGGAGGAGGAGGGGGAGGGTGTGAGGGGGGTGCTGCCACAGTGAGGCTAAAGCCATAACTCATCTTTTATTAAAAATAATGAAAAAAACTTAATGAGTTAATAATATCACAGAGAAAGAGATAGGGAGTGAGACCGAGATGGAGGAAGGGACAGGAGGACGAGGGAAAGGAAGGAGGAGAAGAAAGGAAATGAGGAGATAGAAAAACAAAAAACAGAACAGGGTCAATGTTTGTCTCTTTTCACCTTTTGGTCATTTTTCCTGTTTTCAAAGTTCACACAAGATCCATAACAGCGGCAGGGACAAACATAGCGATCCCCCTCTTTCTGCCGACCTAAATCCCAAAGCCTGCTTGGTAATTAAAGGCACTTAACAACCAATTAACAGAGATGAGCTAAATTAGGAGGATATTGTCTCCTTTGACTAGGCTACTGCATTATCAGTGTATTGAAACAGCGATGAACAAACCTCAGTGGCCCGTGTTTGCATGTAGGCAAATGACGGATTAATTACTATTAAAACATCAGCATCTTAATGAGCTTGGAAACAATTAGAGAGATCGTTAGCATGTGGAGAACGGCTGAGAACAGAGGAAGGGGGGACTGCAAAACAAGAGAGAAATCTTCATTGGGAAGCAATACTGATTAAATGGACGTATGGTCGCACTCATCGCCCAATATCCACGGACCTATTAAATACATGACATCACCATTTGTCTTTTCTACCGTCAAGCTACTTTTCTCCTGCCATCATCTTTCCCCTTCTTCTCCAGCTTCCCCAACTCTCTGCATTTGTTTCGCCTCTCATAAAAAGCCTTTTTCTTGCTCTTCCCTTCGTTTCTCTACTTTCTGCTTTTTCGCTCCCATTTCTTCCATCCTTCCTTCATGCTTGGGGGGCACAGTCCTGTGAAGGAATTTAATATGCAACTTTTATATGAGAAACCAATCGCATACGTCTGGGTCTATTGGGCTCGCAATCTATCGGCCCGGACGGCTAATGCAATAGAGAGAGCCGGGGCTATTTATCACACAGAGAGCTATCTTTTCCGCTCTCTCTCCCACTCTGCCCTCGCTCTCTCTGTCTTTATTCAAGCCTAGATTCCTGGCTGCCACTAAATCAGGCCAACTATGAGCTATGGCTGCCCAGAGGGCATCTCCTCTTTTATAGGGGGATTTGGATTTTGTATCTACTGGTTCCTCAGTGGTCGTTGAGACTGTGCTAACGGAAGCTATAAACATTCAACAAACAAAGGCAACAACTTAAATGTCCCTCCGTCCCCACTGTAATGATCATGAACGTGTAGAGATATATGGTGGTAGGGGGATCCATAAACCTGATGAATAAGATACCATGGCATTTACAATGATGGTGCAAAGATTTGTTTGTGTGCATGTCTTCAGACGGAGAGGCAGAAACTTATACAAAGACTACACATGCACAGACATGTTTACACATATTATACTGTTATAGTATAGTATTTGTACACATGTCTGTGTAATATGCACAACAATATTACTAATACTAGTGACACACAGCAGCAGCAAAACTTCAAAAGTTTCCTGCTGAAAAACAAAAGCGACAGTGTACAGAGGACGCTGCCCACCTGCAGCAATTAAAATGCCTCAGAAAACCAAATTCATTTCAACAAATTAGCCACATTACTGGCCACTGTGTAATCGCTGATGGCAATTAATAAGAAATTAGTCACAATCAGCCGTATATTAACATCTCACCCAGGGGCCGCGGCTGGAAATTAATAACCGGAGATTCATCTCTCTAACTGTCTTTCTGGCTCTCTCTCTCTCACTCGCACACACACACACACACACACACACCTTTGCCCACCTATATTGTTCATGAATCTCCTCTAAGACACAGATTTTTTCTATGTGGATTGTCTCATATGATCCGCAATCTGCTCGTGTCAGCTAGCCAGCTTCCTCTTTACCAGGGTGTGAAAACCCCCTGAAAGACATGAGTATGTGTGTGTGTGTGTTTTCTCACCAAAGCATGGACAGTCAACACATCTGCTATGAACAGTTTGTGGACATGTGGACACACACACACATAAATATAAGAGAGAGAGAGTTAGATACTGTATATCTGTGTGGTATGTAGGCCTTATGTATGTGTGTGTATGTGTGCAAAAGGTGCTACTCAAATGGGGAGGGGGCATCGGTGGAGACTGGGCCCGCCTCTAGGGGTCCTCACACCAATCAGCAAAGCGCACCAAGAATCAATTAACACCAGTGGGAGGGGGCAGAGGGTACGGCACCACACACACTTAGACACACACGCTGTCCTCAAGCACACTGCCCACACACATGGTACTGTCTGAGGAGATATCC